GGGCTTAATTGGTGTAATTGCTCGCTGCTTCCTGCCAAACCCCGTCCGTCTGGGCGGCTGCCCACCTGCGGGCGGGAGCTGCTCCCGAAGGCCTCCCGTCCCCCGTGGAGGATTCTGAGGCTCCTCCAGCTCCCGCCCCACCCGCCCTGGAGGACCAGGGACCCTGGGGCAGCCTGAACCCCAGCTCCCTGAAGGAGCACCCCATCCTGCCGGGGGCAGGGAGGGGCGTCTTGAGCCAGGCTGCAGAGCCTGGGGTCCCCAGGGGGAGGCAGGGGATGTCCCTCAGAGGGGAGGGGGGAGAGTAGGTCCATTTCCTGGGGTGCAGGGTTATGGAGCCTGAGGGCCTTTGGGGGTGAAGACTGGGGCTTCCATGACGTAGGGGCCCCCGTGGGAGAACCTCACCTTGGGGCAAGGCCTTCTCACAGGCCAGCTCGTCTGGGCCCCGTGCACCAGCCGCATAGGGCCCAGCCCATGTGCCCTGAGCGGGACTCGAACCCTGACCTTCTGGTTCATAGGTGGATGCTCAGCCACTGAGCCACGCTGGCCGGGCTGGGTCTGCGTCTCGCCCTGACCGCTCCTCCCCATCCTCTCTCCCTCCCTCCCTCCAGGCGCCTCGATGCCAACCTCATCTCCCTGGTCCCCGAGAGGAGCTTCGAGGGGCTGTCCTGCCTCCGCCACCTGTGGCTGGACGACAACGCGCTGACCGAGGTCCCGGTCAGGGCCCTCAACAACCTCCCCGCCCTGCAGGCCATGACCCTGGCCCTCAACCGCATCCGCCACGTCCCCGACTACGCCTTCCAGAACCTGAGCAGCCTCGTGGTGCTGTGAGCGCCTCCCCGCTCCCCGCTCCGCGTGGGGCCGCCCGGGGCCACCTGCCCGTTCACTCCAGGGCCTGACCGCTGGGCTGAGCCTTCTGCTCTGGGTCCCCTTCGTAAAAATGGGGAGGATCGTGCCCTGCTGACCTCACGCCCGGGGGTTGCCGTGAGGCCAGACGACATCAGAGCTAGAGAGGGGCCCTCAGGACAGAGACCGCGAGCAGACGCCAGAGCGAAGCTATTGTTTTCTTTCTTTTTAAAATAAATATGTATGGATCTCAGAGAGGAAGGGAGATGGAGAGACAGACAGAAACAGCGATGATGAGAAAGAATCATTGACCGGCTGCCTCCTGCACGACCCCCCACGGGGAATTGAGCCTGCAACCCGGGCATGTGCCCCAACCGGGAATTGAACTGTGACCTTGTGTTTCAAAGGTCGACACTCAACCACTGAGCCACGCTGGCCAGGCTAGCTACTATTTTTTTCTCCCCCTGCGAACATATTCACTGCACCTTGTGTGTGGGCATGTAAGTCAAGGGTGTCTTTTTTTTTCCTTTTTAATTAATTTTTGTTGTTAATCCTCACCTGAGGTTATCTTTCCATTGATTTTATTTAATTTTTTTATTTTTTATTTTTTAAATAGTCAGTGGGATGAATCACTTTATTTTATTGATTTTTTACAGAGAGGAAGGGAGAGGGATAGAGAGTTAGAAACATCGATGAGAGAGAAACATCGATCAGTTGCCTCCTGCACACCTCCTATTGGGGATGTGCCTGCAACCAAGGTACATGCCCTTGACCAGAATCGAACCTGGGACCTTTCAGTCCGCAGGCCGACGCTCTATCCACTGAGCCAAAC